ATTTAACACGGTTCTAAAGTCGACTTAACACATTACATTTATGTATATAGATATATATCTACACATATACATATATATTCGTATATAGTATAACCACTATATATAAGCGAAATATATAATAAGGAATTCTCATCGAAAATTTCATAATGCGCAATAAGCTATATATATTTCGTGTTCAAACAAACATGGAAAGAGAGACATCACAAAATCCCATTTACTTACAAAAGACGAGATGCTTCATAGCTCTAAACACATGTGAATGCTCCAAAAATTCTATCGAAGTACTGGCTAGATGAAAACTATCTAGACACGTATAATTAATTCACCTACTCAAAAGATCCTTTTCTCATCCCTGCTCCCATGTCTAAAACTGATCTGCGGGGTACTAAGGGAGATAAGGGTCCCTTATCCATTCTTCAAATGACGCGGATGGCCTGGAGTGCCACCACACACTAGCCCTTGGGCCATTCTTGATGCATCGGACCCATTCGGAGAAATAACCCCTCACTACACCAGCATAGTCTACGGTCATTCTCTTATAGAAGTGAACTCTGTCTCTGATTCTAGTGCCTACTGGGCGAACAACAATTCTCTGCTCCTGTTCAAGCACAACTTTATCCCAAATCAGGGCATGACAATGATCCGACAAATCTGCATTCTCTTTAATTAGCTCGTTTAGGGCTTTTCCTTGTTCGACATGTGCCCGCTGAAGATTTCCCAGCCATTCATTCAGTCTAGTATTGTCATCTGAAGTTCGGGTCAACCTCTCCCTAAGCCTTGTGTTCTCGCCCCCCATGGTCTCTATAGTCTCCATCATGTCCTCACGTGTAGGGGTACGGGACGTGTAGTCTTCCGAAGGTTCGGGCATGGTCCCTTGCCTGATGGGCTCGCATGATGATGCTTCACCAGTGTGGGCCGGACCATCGCTTTCGGATCGGGTACCGGGAACCTGTCCGGCGCTGGGGCGGTGACTGTCAATCGACCCTCTATTCGGTCCTAGCCCGTAAGGCGTCCTACGGGTTCCGTATCTGCATCCACGTCTGCGTTTAATAGCCCTAGTGTGAATGGTGCGAACCATGTCTCCTACAATCAAAAGGAATACTAAGTCGAGTAGTGACGTAGGATCAAACTTAATCGCATGCTAAGCAACGTCAATACAAAATGAACACGTGCTTCTAATAATCCTTTCAGTTTAAGCTTAGGCTAAGTAAATCTTAACCTATTTACCTTAAACTAAAGCTCTAA